GTGCCAGGTTGCAGAGAGCTGGGCCGCGTCAAGCCCTGGGACATGTGACAGGAGAGAAAGCCGTAGCATGTGGCCACATCTGCCTACTTAGCTCTCCCAGCCCGGGCTGCACGTGGCTGGGCTTAAACTCTGGCCTCCCTGAGTCTCTAAGTCCTCAGAGGACTTCGAGTCAGAGGCTAAAGGTCCAGGGAAGTTGGGCTGCCCCACTCCCCTGGGACCACTCTGCACTGACCGCTCTTAAGACTTGGGTCTGGACAGCAAGTCTCCATGGCAGCTGTTGGCTGACTGTCTGCTCTTGATTGTGCTCCTGTTCCCGTTCTTAACAAGAGAAACCACGGAGACATAGAGTCAGGGGAAGTTCCATACTGAAAGAGAACTTGATTGTGAGGTGCGAATGGAGGAGCCCAGAGGTGAAATAAGGACACTTGTTTTTAAGTCAAACTCTCTGAATTGTTTGTATTTGTTTTGTTTTACTTTATTTAATGTGTGTGTGTGTATGTGCACATGTGTGAGCCAGAATGCAGGCACATATGTGCATATATGTGTAGGTCAAAGGTCAACCTCATATGCCATTCCTCAGACACAGCCTACTTTTATTGGACACAGGTCTCTCACCGGCCTGGAGTTTGCTGAGTGGGCTATGCTGGCTGGCCTCAGAACCCCAGGGGTCCTCCTGTCTCAGCTTCTCTAGTACTGGGATTATAAACATATCACTGTGCCTGGCCTTTTTACATGGGGTCTGGGAGTCAAACGTAGGTCCTCATGCATACACACGGTGAGCACTTTACCAACTAAGCTATCAATCCAACCATCTCTGGATTTCTTTCTATTATTCTGCATGTTTTGAGAGAGGGTCTCTCTGTTATGGAGTTCTGACAGTCCTGTGTAGTACAAGTTGGCCTTGAACTCACAGAAATCTGCCTGCCTCAGACTTCTGAGTTCTGGGATTACAGGTGTGTGCCACCATGCCTGGTTTTTCTTTGGAATTCTTAAATAACATGTATTATCCTCTTTATGACTTTTAAAACAAACACATCCATTTATATGTGTGTAGGTATATGTATGTGCTCCACGTTTGTGGAGTGCCTCTGGAGGCCAGAAGAAGGTGTCAGATTCCCTAGAACTAGCGTCACAGATGGCTGTGGTACCTAACCCAGGTCCTCTCAAGAGCAGCAAGTGCTCTTAACCACAGAGCCATCTCTTCAGCTTCTCCTGATAGCTTTCACAAAGTATTTTATCTTAAAATGCAAAGCACTGAGCTGAACTCCTTGGGAGAAGAGAGTTTTATGCAATGGGCAGTTTAAGTAGGGCCATAAACACAGCTTCCAAGCATCCTTTCCAAGTCTTTATCCCACATCCCGAGTGCAGTGAGGTGGCTTGCACACAGGGTTTAATTTAAAGCTTGCTGCAGGCCTCTGTAGTTGGATGCTATGAGAACGGGTTCAGGGCCTTCTCTTTGGAAGCGAGGTCTAAATTCTCGGTTTGGACAGACAACACCACGGGCTGCCTCCTGCCACTGATGCAGAAACCGATAAACTCAAAGCCATTTGTTTTTTGTCCACTGCACTACTGGAAAACTAATGACATTCTCCAGGAGTAGAATCAAAGTGTCACAGGGACACAAAGTCAGGGAATAGCGTCTCCACACACAACTTGACACTGGAAGAATAGATTGCTGAGAGCCACTGTGATCTGTCCATTGGGCCCACCCACTCACCGACCTCTGACAGATACTGCATACACCAGGCTCTGCACACTGCTGGAGTCAGGGAGGGGAGATGTCCACGGCCTGTAAGAAGGGGCTAGGAGGATGCTGGCCAGGAAAAACCCTCTACAACTTCTAACATTTGTCCTGTCTACAAATATTCCAATCGCTTGCAAATCAGGATCCATGTAGTGAGAATCAAGCGTCATTCCACCATTTCCTCCTACGAGCAGACCCTGCCGCCTCCCTGGGACCTTCCACCTGCAGAGAGTAGATCTGGGACATGATAGTTCAGCCCACACTTTGGTCTAGGGATAACGGGTTTTCTCTCAGACTTCAGCCTAGGAAGGCAAGAAGGTGTTAATGAACGTTGCAAGAGCCACTAGGGCAAGAGTGGGATCATGCCCAAGGTTTTAGTCTGCGGATCCAGAGTCCTGTGAGCAGGCTGTATGTTGTCCTCTACAAGGGGATAGTATGGGACTCTCAAGACTCAGGCATATGCTAAGGACTCATGAATAAATGAATGAGTGTGATGGGGAGAAGAAAGCTGTACCCCATCGGGAATCAGGGGTATCACTCCCAGCCCATCACCAGAATTTGGGTGCCTGGATGAATAACCTATGCTCTAAACCCTGCCTCAGATGCTTGAGAGTTGGACTCCAAGGGTTGGCAAGATGTCTGGCCAGATAAAGGTGATTGCTGCTTATCTTGGTTACTTTTCTATTGCTGTGTTAAAATACGACTGGCAGTTTATAGAAGAAAGGGTTTCTGGTTCCAGAGGGACAAGAGTCCACGCCCATCACAGTGGGGAGGTGCGGCAGCAGGCAGACCTGGCAGCTGGGGTAGCAGCGGAGAGCTCACATCTTAAACTGCAGAGAACAAACTGGGAATGGTGCAAGGCTTTGAGACATCAAAGACCACCTCCAATGGCACACTTCCTCCAGGAGGACCACGTCTCCTACACCTCCCCAAGAGCTCCACCAGGGGAAACAAGTGTTAAATGCTAGACGCTATGGGGACATTCTCATTCAACCCACCCCACCACAAAACAAAGCTAAACAACCCACCACACCATGAAATCTGAGGACCCCGGCAATTCCCAGTACCTACATGGTGGAGGAAGAGAACTGACTCACGAAGGTTGTCCTCTGACCTCCACATGTGCACCAGCGAACATGCATGCATGCATGCATGCGTACGTGCATGTGCACGCACACGCACACAACTGAAATGTAAGTTGGGATCTAAATACTAATGACACTGGCATGCCTCACCAAGGCACTCTGGAGTCATGTCTGATCTGCACCTGAACTCTGGAAGAAGTGAGTTACTGGGTGTGCTTCCTGACATGGAAGGAGACCCTTGGGAGTGGCGGAGAAACACTGAGAAAAGTATGTGACTGGGGGCTGACTGGGGATACCATGGTTAAAACTGGGAGGGGTCTTGTTCTCATTCACGAATGACAAACTGGAGGATAGGGAGGCTATAAAAACTGAGAAGAATGCAGCGGCTAGACACAGCAGTGCACCCTGCCATCCCAGCACTTGGGAGCTACGGGTAAGAGGACAGGGTACAGCATAGGCTCTTACCTCAACAAAGTAAATTTAGTCAACATCTACTACAAGGTCTGCCACGATACCTGCAGTAGTGCATTGCTGAAGTCCAAGCACTAGGAAGGCGGAGGCAGGAGGATGGCGATTTTGAGGCTGACCTAGACTAGACAGTGAGAACTTGCTTTAGAAGACAAGAAACAGCCCACCAGAACAAGCCACAGAAATCCTGCAAGCAGCTAGGGAATAAAGTCAGAAAGCCTCCCACATGCTTTCCCGGGAGCAAGGGAGGGACTGACAGAGGGATCAGTTGACCCCAGCCCAGGAAGCTTTACAGGAACTCTAACCTAGGCCTCCAGCCAGCCCCGAGATACACCAGGCTGACCTCTGAGGAATCATGCTCTCTAGCTTCTACTCTGGACTTCTGCATGCCATTTCCATATCTTCTCCTGTCCAGTAACCCAGTTCCTAGACACTGAGGCCTTGATTTACTATGCAGTCAAGAAGCATCTTCTCCCTTTGGCTTGGAGTCCCAGGTCTCCTGCAGAGTGGGCTGGGAGTCCCTGAGTTTGGAGTATTGGTACCAGAGGCTCCTGCTGTTGTGCTGCAGAATGACTTGGACCCTGAGAGGTCTGCACAGAGATCTCTAGAAGGGTCCTTCTCCCTTGAGGGCGTACAGAACTTTGAGACTTGAGGGGCAAGGACCAAATCATTGTATGATTGTCAGACCCACGTGAAGAGGCTTTTGACAAATGGTTGGAACGAATAGAGCCTGTAAACATCCCCCAGGTCTGACCAGGGTTGAGCACGGAGGGAGACCCTTGGGAGCGGTGGAGAATAAAACCCCAGAAGAGGATCCTGCCCTCAGATCCGGAGCTCCTGGAGAACAGGATGGCCAGCCTGAGGGCTGAGGTTCTTGTGTCCTGCTCGGTTCCTAGTGTCTAACAACAGAGCCCATAGCAGACACTCCAGACCCGGAGACTGGATCAGGGTGAGCAGGCTTTGACCATGAGGAGCTAGGCACACCATATAAGGGCAGGTCTGTGTGGCGAGTCAGAGCTTGGGAGGAGGAAGAACACTCCAAGCTGGTGGAGAGCCCACAGGTTTGTAGGTTTGTCGTTGACCAGCACCAGGGACAGGGCAGACCTTTAACCTTTAACCCTTGGCTGCAGCTGCATGGCAGCAGTGTGCTCAGCTGTGCATTTCAATCTTTTATTTCCACTTGAAATCTTACATCACACCCTAAGGATGGGGTGTAGTTACTGCTTTCAGGTTCCCAGTGGGGTGCTCCCAGGCTGGCCGGTTCCTCTGGGGCTGTCTCCCACCACTGCCAATCTCCTTGAGGAGCCTTACGGAAGCCAGGCTTGTTTGGTCCTCTGGAGAGGGCCTGGGTCTTCCTAGACCTGGGTTTTCTGAGGCTAAATCAAGTTCCTCCTTCATGAAGGGATGTGGGAGCCATTCCCATGTAATGGAGTTCGATCCAAGCCCTGGGGGCTCCAACAGCAGGGTGACCATTAGGGAAGCAGAAGGAGGAAGCCGCCGCCACCTGCGGATCGGGCAGGTATGGACTGCTCAGTGGGAAGGGAAGGTCTGCTCTTTTAGATGCTTTGATCATTGAGTCTCGTGCTAACCAATGGGATCGTGAGGGCTATGGTGGAGGACAAGGTACCCTGCTGATGGCCTCTGTGACAACAAAGAAGATGGGAAGCAGGCTCGCCCTGAAGGGCAAGCCAGAACTCCCTTACCTGGTCAGCCGAGCTGGAAAGCCTGTGTCTGTGTTTAGATTGCACACCAAGGAGTTCACCTGCAGTATGGGGAGGGCCGGCTTCTGCAGACTGCAGGCTGTCCAGCAGGTGTCTACCTGTCTGGGAAGCAGAAGAGTCTTGACTATCTGGCCAGGTTGATGCCATCACCTCCCAGCGCTCCAGGCCTCCCCTTCCAGTGTGGTTTGCAACACCTTGGGCTCCCAGGAGGCAATACAAACAGCCTGCAGAAACCTGGGGTCTGCACCAGGGACCCAGCTGAAGTTCTGAGGGAACAGTTCAGAAGTTCAAAGGGATGTGCACATGGAGCATGGGTGTATGCATCCCACAGTGCCAGAGTAATACACATGAGCCTGCCGCCAACATGCACAGAGCAAAGGGCCCTTCTGAAGGGAGGCTAATGAATGTGCCCAGTTCACTTAGATGCAAAACCTAAGTTCAGAGATTGAATGAGTAGAAGTGTTAGGTATCTGAGTCCCTTGGAGAAAAGGTCCTTGTTCATGTGAAAACACATCTGTGATATACAGGCAAGATAGAGCTATGGTCTCCTTTAACCAATGAGGAGACTGATACCCAGGGAGGGGCTGTGACCTGACTAGAGCCACACAGCAAATTGGCAGAGCAAACCTGGGTCTCTCCACGCTCCAGGGATGCCCATTCTTTTGGACTTGTCAGATCTGAAGCCTGTTGAGTAGTCCCCAGCCTTAGCAGGACCTCCCTGATATGCTGTCAGGGGTGTGGGTCACCGTTTTTGCCCAGTCACAGATCACAACAAAGAATTGCTTCTGGCTGAACTGAATCCAGGCAAGGTGTGTGAAATTGTGCCCTGAAGTCAGAAGCACTGGAGATGGTAGACCTTGGCCACATGCTTGGACAACAACCTTTCCCCCCCAGAAGTGGGGTCCTGGGCAAACAGGTGTCCTCTCAGCATTAGTTTCTTCATTTGTAAACAAGGTGGATAACGGGATTGCTCCCCAAAGCTTGCTGGGAGTTAAAATGCCTCATCGGTCTGAAAGCCATAGGAGAGCATTTGACATGGGGCAATTGCTCAGTAAGTGTAGGCAAGTGACAGAGCAAGTGTGTGTGTGTGTGTGTGCCCGTGCGCGTGCATGCCCACATATACGAGGGAGGTGGAGCACGCACTTGCCTGGTATCCTGGCAAATGTTTAGACATACAGTGACTCTAAATTCCTCCAGTGGCTCCTCCCTCTCACAGCCCATCTGGGCCTCCACCTGGCCTGCCTGGCCCTCTCTCTGGGCTACCAATTCCCCACCTGCCAGTGATGTCCTCTACTGTAATTACCAAGCACCATCTTTTGCCAGCCAGAAAAATGCAAATGTCATTAGCACTCCACAAGTTGGTGAGTGCCAGTACTGGACCAGAGGCAACCAGAGCTGAGAACAGGGAGGACTTAGTAGGCCCGTGAATAGTCCCAGGTTTTTCAAAGGGACATTATAGAGAGGCAAACAGCTACAAGAGTGGGGAACCAGGAAGGCTGTCTCTGGAACAGGATAAGCCATGGCTCCTGATGGCGCTCCACTGTCTCTGTCCCCACTTCAGCCGCTGGGTCTGTCTCTCAGCATCTATGAAGTCTCTTCCCAGCATTCCACTTGAAGAGTCTTATTTTGGGGGCACTTACCTACCTCTCCCATACTCCTCAAGCCATCTGAGGTATAAATTATGGACAAGGAGGTGACCTGGGGTGGGGTGGGGTCTTCCTCTCAGAAAGAGGTGGTGGTGGTAAGTCTTCCAGGGATGGGCAGTGAGGAATCAAGGTTCTGGTCCCGAGACCGTACTAACTGGCAGGAGTCCCTGCCTTGCCTGCAGGTGCCTTGATTTTCCCACCCACAGAAGGCACCTTCTGTCTGCTTCCGCAGGCTCTTGGGGAAGGGCAGAGGCCCCTGCTACAGATGGGAAAGTTCATGTTCCGCATGCCACAGGCCTCTCATTTAATCCTCATGGCATTGTCACCCCCATTTTCGGGATGAGAAACTGAGGCTCAGAGAGATGACATCAGCAGATACGTTGTGCATGGTCTCATGATTTGGTCACTGTGTGATGGCGCTGTCAAGAGTGCTGAAAACAGACCGCGACTAGAATAGCATGGGTGTCACACACATGTGTGCACCAGGACACAGGGCAGTGGGGATGGGCAGTTCCAGGTCTGAGCAGGACCTGTGGAGCATATGCCATCTGTGTCACAGAGTGAAGCTCCTGATCCCAGGAGGGCCAGCTGGAGAGGACATGGCCCAGTGAACGAGGCACCAGGGTGTGATAGTCTCCACAGCCACTCAGCCTGTGTGATCCAGGTCTGTCCCCACAGGTCCTGGTCTGTATTGCTGCTCAGTCTCCCAATGCCTTTGGTTCAGCATTTCCACCAAGGGAAACCGGTCCTGCAGATGGGGGCTGGTGTATGCAGGATCTGCTGCCACATGCAGGGCACTTCACAGGTGCGGGAAAGAAGAGGGGTCCAGTGGAGCCCCAAATCTGCATTCTCACCCTTGCCTCTGTTGCCTGTGTGATCATGGCAGGCAAGACCTACTTGAGCCTGTGAAAACTCTGTGTTACATGTATGTCTGAGGCAGAGTGGAGGCATACTACCAAAGGCTGTGGTACCCATCAGAGTCCAGCATGGGTCAAAGAAACAGTCTAGAGTTCCCAGTGAACCTTGACCAAAGGTCTAACCATGCTCTATAGAAACCCTCTCTCACTCCTGAACGTTAGTTTCCCTTTCCACAGAACGGAGGATTGGCCTGGAGACACACAATAGTGGTAAAGACCTGTGTGCAAGGCCCGTGCGTGTGCAAGGCCCTGTCCAGCCCAGTCACAATGGAAACACAAAGAGACATAACCACAGCGAGGCCCACGGCCCCCACTCCACGTCGTGTATAACTAACCACAGCGAGGCCCACGGCCCCCACTCCACGTCGTGTATAACTAACCACAGCGAGGCCCACGGCCCCTACTCCACGTCGTGTATAACTAACCACAGCGAGGCCCACGGCCCCCACTCCACGTCATGTATAACTAACTACAGAGGGCCCACAATCCCCACTTCGTGTTTTCATTGCTGCACACTGCTCTAGTCCTCACAGGAACCTGGTTGAGACCTGAGTAGCAGGAGATGTGAGCAGATGTGGAAGCAAGGTTTGGGCAAGAGGAGAAAAGAAAGCGGCTCATGTCTGAGCTGCTGACCAGGAAGGAAGGCGGCAACCGTGGGAGGGGAGAGGAGTACATGGCTGAGTGTGGGGAACCAACAGAAGGATGGTGGAAGGGACGGATGGATGCGGTGGGGGAAGAAGGGAAGGAGGGAGGGAGAGGGACTGACCACACCGCTGGGAGCAGAGGGAATCTGGACTGAGCCTTTTCCTAGGGGTTCTGTACCTGGGGAGCAGGGGCGAACAAGAACACCTGCTGGGTGGGGGACTCCTGAGCGTAGATTCACTTTCCAAGAAGCCCAGAATCCAAGGGGGAAGACAGTCCCAGTGTGGGAAGGAGCGGAGAGTTAAGAAGAGGGGAGAGGGGCACCGGGAGGGTTTCTCAGAAAGAGGGGCAGATCTGAATGTCTGAGGATTAGAGGAGGGTGCTGGCAGAGACAAGGGTGAGAAAGGCATGCCAGTGCCCGGATGTGGGGCAGGCATTCAGGGCTGTGCACCATGGTGGGCAGCTGGGGATGACACAGGCAAGGGAGGAAGGCAGAGGCCAGGTCCTCGGATGTCAGGCTGAGGATGCTGAACTGTAGCCACAGGCCATGGGGAACCACTGAAGAGGTGCGCATGGGGCAAGCTGGAGACAGCAGAAACCCAGGAAAGTGGAAACAGATGATGAAAGGGTGGACAGAAGATGGGGGTGGGGCTAGTAAGCTCGGAACAGAGAGGAGCTGGGGAAGGACCCTAAGGCAAGTCAAGCTGGGACAGAGACCCTGTGGGAAGGAAGACTACTCATAGCCCAGTGTGTCACTGCCACCAACTGTGTAGCCTCAAGGAAGTTATTCCACTTCTGTGGGCCTCAGTTTCCCACCCCACCCCACCTTAAATTAAAAATTAAGCCACCTCATAGGACTATAGAGTTCAACGGAGCACTCTGAATACGGTCAGGGACGGATGCTGAGTGCTGGCCGATGTGGTCTTAATTTTATTCCCAGCATGCTTTCCCAAGTTGCAAGGAAGGACACTGATGTTCAAGGTCAAACAGGCAGCGAGAGCTGGCCTCTCTGGGGCTCGTCAGGCCTCACATCCCAGGAGAAGCAAGTTACAAGCAAATAAACCGTGATGGCTCAGAGAAGCCTGATCTTAAAGTATTATTAAAGAGCAAGACTGTTGTATGACTGTGCACGGCCTGCTTATTAAACTCCAGCTAATAAGTAAAATGAGTTAAGTTAATGAAAAACCAACCTTCGGGAGGGATCGCATCACCTCATGGTGGCCCATAAACATCAACATGAAAATTTAAAACACAAGAATGAATGTGGACGCCGGCAGCAGGGGAGGCTGCCGGAGAGCAGCCATTGATTCTAGCCCTTCCCCTCACTCATGGGGTCTTCGGGAAGTCATAAGGAGGAGTTATTTCTCTTTGTTCACACACCAAGGATGCTAGGTGCTGAATCTAAATTGTCTCTCATTCCTAATTAGTAAGAATGAAATTAGAATCCATGTATGGCAGAACTGGAGAGGGCCTGGGGGTTTCTGTACACAGAGGTCTTTGTTTTACAGACCAGCAGTGGCAGGGGGTGGAGAGGAAAGAGAGGAGAGAAGGGGAGAGAGAGAGAAGGGGAAAGAGAGAGGGGAGAGAGGGAGAGAAATGATACAGAGAGAGAAAGAGAGAGAGAGGGAGGGAAGAAGAGAGAGGGAGGGAGAGAGGGAAGGAGAGAGAGAGAAAGAGAGAGAGAGGGAGGGAAGAAGAGAGAGGGAGGGAGAGAGGGAAGGAGAGAGAGAGAGAGAGAGAGAGAGAGAGAGAGAAAGAGAGAGAGAGAGAGAGAGAGAGAGAGAGAGAGAGAGAGAGAGAGAGAGAGAGAGAGAGAGAGAGAGAGCCAGCCATTTAAGCCACACAGTTAAAGGGCATGGGTTGATGGCAAAGTTGGCAGACTTTTTTTTTTTTAAACTGAACC